AGTTACTCGTTGGAATTCAACATTTGATATGATTCAGAGGGTACTAAAAATGAAAAACGCAATAATTTCGACTTTAGCTATTTTAAGTACATCACAAAAAAACCAAAATGAATCTGAATCCGGCGAGAGCATTTCTTCTTTGCAGAATAAAGAGTGGATTAGTGCTTGAAATTTTCAATGTAGTGACAACTGCTATAAGTGCAGAACAAAATGTTAGTGCTTCCACTATTATTTTTTATTATAAACAAATCGTAAGACATTTAAATTCTTTTGATTTAAGTACTGTTATGCCTGAAATTGAGAATATGATTAACAAACTGCAAAGTGAATTAAAAAACGGTTTCAGGATATTGAAGACAATCAGTTAATCGCCCAAGCAACTATTTTAGACCCAAGAGTCAAACAATTTGGCTTTATTGATCAGACAAAAAATAAACGTGCCATAGAAAATTTATACACAAAAGTGGCTAACACAAAATTATTGGCTCTAGACGAAAGGGAAACTACAAACAGTCAAGAAAACGATATTGAAGAAGAAAAGCAAGATATTGAGCCACAAAAAAATGATCCGTTAAAAGACCTCTGGATGGAATTTGATAAGTCCAACAACATTTAAAACCCACTAACCCAAAGGCTTCAGCTATTGTTGAAGTAGATCGGTACATAGATGAACCTATTTTACCTCGCAAGAATGCCTTAGGGTTGAACCAAGATCCTCTTGCCTGGTGGCACCAAAAAAGGCACATCTATCCTAAATTATTTCAGATTATGAAGACCAGACTTTGTATTATGGCAACATCTGTACCATGCGAACGGATATTTTCCAAAGCTGGACAAATTATAAACGAAAAACGAGAGAGTTTAAAGACTGAAAAAGCATCTCAAATAATTTTTTTAAGCTATAATCTAAATAATACTGACTAGTTTATTGCCATTTTAAATGATAAGAATTTTTTTCAGAATTTTTAATATTTAGCTTAAAGCATTATGTTTAAAGAACTTTTTTTTTAAGTATTTTGAAACCAAATTTATTTGTTCTTGTTATGTACCTGTTCTCAATTTTATTAAAATTATGTTTTAAATTTAGATCCATTTTAATATTATTATGTACCCTTACTCACACACAACCCATATTACATTAATCCAAACATAGGTGCAGTGTGGGTTGCACAATTAAGGGGCCTGGTCTTTTCAGCAGCGGACGGACGCTGGGTTTTACTTTATTAAGAAATCACACATATGAAGACTGCCATGTAGGTAACACACTCTTAGTGCCAGATGTGACTAAGTTTTGAAACTGACAAAATGTCCACAACACCTTTTACCCACCTTGGTTTTATTTATTTATTTATTTATCCTAACAGGCCTATTGGCCTAATTACAAGAATAATTACTATTAAATAATTACAATATACGTGCCTACCACAATTTACATAATTTTGATACCAGAACACCATGAGATCAAATAACATTACTTGCTTAAATGGACATGTTTGTAATTTGTTTAATATTTTTTTTAAATGTATTATATTTCTCATACCAGTCTATATCTTCTAAATTGTTTATACCATTGGCTAAGCGAAGAATGATCAGGAGGGGAGCTCTGGATGTAATCGTGGCAAAAGGAACAATAAACATATTTGAGTTACGCATGGGACGTGATGGAACACAAAATGGTATTAGGGCTAACAGATCTGAAGAACATATTTGATTATTGATTATTTTATACAAAAATAAGGTGCATGTGATTTTGCGTCTAGTCTCAAGAGAAGGTAATTTAAAATCTATTCTTAATTGTGATGTTCTAACAACATTGTAATCAGGTCTAATATGAAACTTTTTAAAGTAAAGATATCTTAAAAATTTATTTTGTATTTTCTCTAATTCTTGTAAAATGATTTGGTATTCTCCAAGCCATATAATTGAAGCAAACTCTAATTTTGAACGGATTAACGAAATATATAAAATTATTAACAAATTAATATCAGAAAATGGCTGCGTTTGTCTCATTAAAAATCCCAGAGCACGATTTGCTGCTTTACAAGTATTCTCAATATGCGTAAAGAATGATAATTTAGAATTGAATGTTACCCCCAAATCTTTAACTTGAAAGCACTTTCTTAATGACACACTTTCCATTTGATAGTCAAATATAATCGGTTGCTTTTGCCGGGTAATAGTCATATAATAACATTTGCTGATGTTAAATTCCAATTTACATTTTTGACTCCATTCGTATATAGCATTTATATCTTTTTGCAAAGAAACGCAATCGCGTACTGTTTGAATTTGTTTATAAATTTTAAAATCATCAGCAAAAAGTAAGCATCTCGAGTATTTAATCACTTTTGGCAGATCATTGACAAATAACAGAAACAATAATGGACCTAAATTGGAACCTTGAGGCACTCCGGAAACAGCACGGAATCTGCTAGAAGTATTACCATTATGTCTTACCAAAAAGTATCTATCTTTTAAGTAATCCCTGATAAGCATTAATACATTACTTGTCAATCCAAATTGACTGATCTTTTCTAACAAAATATCATGATCTACCCGATCAAAAGCCTTACTACAATCTGTAAAAATTGTATCTAGCTGAAGTCTTTTTTCTAATATATTATTCGCATAATTTGTAAAAATAAATAAATTAGAATTAATTGATCTACCAGCCACAAATCCATGCTGCTCCTCAGCAATGCTATTTGTCACGAAATTATATAATTTGTTATAAATTATTTACTCGAATAATTTAGAAGGAGCACACATAACAGAAACCGATCTATAATTTTCAATATTCCTTGTACTACCTGATTTATGTATTGGGGTACAAATAGCCGTTTTCCACAGATCAGGGAAAGTAGAAAATTTCAGAATAAGATTGAATATATGAAGCATTGGCAATTTTAAACCCTCATGACAACCTTTTAAGATATATGGTGGTATACCATTTGTGCCTGCAGCCTTTTTTGGTTTTAATTTTTTGACAGCTGCTAGATAATCATCATCATTTATTAAATTTAGTGTAAAACTATCATTTTTCCAAAGATTGGAGTTTTGTTCATTTAAAATATATGTAGACTGATTTGATGAATATGTAGTAGCAAAATATTCCGCAAAAAACTTAGCAGTTTGCTGTGGAAGAATTTATTTATCATTAAAAATAAAATTGCCACTGTTCACACTCCCACTTCTTTTTTTATTAACATAGGTCCAAAAATTATTTATGTCTGCTTTCGAATCTTCCTGTATACTTTTAATGTATTTTTTATACTCGGATCTAATTAGTGATTTTAATTTTCTTCTTGTGTCCATGTATTGCTGTTTATGAAAATCAGAAGTATGTTTTATGTGATTAAATTTGGTTTTTTCCTTTATAAGTTGTTTAATTTCCCTATTATACTATATTGGATACTTATTATACTGTTTATGTAGCCTGAATGTTGGTACACACTTAGAAAAAATATTGTTTAAAGTACTATAAAATTTATTTAATGCATCATTGACATTGGGTTCTGCACAAACATCACCCCAATCAGTATCGTTAATATACTCGTATAAAAGAATAAAATTTGCCTTTTTAAAATTATATGGAAATTTTTTGTTTTCATCAATCTCACAGTTACGTGATACAGATCTTTGACCTGGATTAATAGACATTTCCAATGAAGGATGATATAGATCTTCTTTTGTAAGAGGAAATTCGGCTCTATAAATATTACAATTATTTTCATCCGAGCAAATTATTAAATCCAAAGTTTTTCCCTGAAAGTTAACAATATTATTAAATAATCTAAATGAATTAAAATTTAAAAAATCATTGAGAGCAAGTAGTCTTTCATTTGACACATTAACTGATTGCGATGCACCTTTTATTTCAGGCAAGTTAAAGTCACCCATTATATAAGTTTCATTTACACAATCTATATTGTCTTGCAAAAACCCAAAGCAAGATTCATATACTTGACAAGAACTTTTTGGAGGAATATAAACGCAAGCCAATGTCACGTTAACAGTACGATTTATTTTAATCTGCAATATTATTGCTTCAAACATTGAACTCATTTTAGCCACTTTCAGTATTTTCCAATTTTTATGTGCCAAGTGTCAGTGCATCTCATTGTTCTGTTTCAACACATCTGACACAGCGCAAAGTATCAGCACAATCGTGTGATACAACACAGTGTTACACAGTACTACTCTAGCCGGTACAAATATGTACTGGTGCCCCGGAAAGGGTTAATGAGAAAGAAAGTGTAAATCTATTTTTCAATATGAGCAAGTTAATAACATAATAAACCGACCTTTACCTATATATTATTATTTGCATGTGGCAACATTCGAGGATATTCTCGGCTTACAGTTGTCATCTATCAATCAACTAACTGTCAAAACCGAGTAGTGTAAACACAATTGACGGGCATAGCACATGTTTACGGATAACCAATAACCAAGTTTAATAAAAAGTATTATTCTAAGTCCCTAAAGCCGAATTATCCTAAGTCCCTTTAACGAAATTATTTTAAGTCCCTAAATCGAAATTCTTCTAAGTCCCGTTTCACCCCCCCCCCCCTCCTAAAACTGACCATTTTCACCACCGCCTTCGCGAGGTACCCCCTCATTATGAACATGTTCCATGTTAAAAGTTACTTTTTATAAAAACTTTAAGTTGCTTAGATCACTGAGTTCAAAAATGATGTCATAAACTTATATCATGTTTGATTTCTTATCCACAAAGCACAAAAAATAAGTTAGTTGCTCTATTATTGCATTTTGATAGTTAGTTGACAGCTTGTTGACAGCAGTAAGCTGATGACTACATAATTTTAAATCATATTTATATTCACTTATTTAAAAACTTGAAGTTATAAACAAAAAATATTTTTTTGACTTTATTATCGGACTTTGAAGAGTTGTTGACAGCTAAATGACAGCTGCCGATAGTCATTGTTATTGATTTGATATCATCTTTAAACTTATCGAACTAAAAAAAAAAGAAAGATAAAACATAAAAAACAAGTTTTTGGCTTTATTATAGCACATTGACAGCTATTTGACAGCTGCCAACTATCAATTTTGAAAATCTAACAACAGATCTGAATTCAGCAACCTCTAAAATATAAACCTGGATAATAAAAAAAATTAAATAGGCTATTTCAAAAGTCTATACACACTGCGCATATACATAAATCCGTGGAGGATACTCGGAGCTTTAAAGCTCTGTCCTGGCCAAACTATCCATTTTTGAGCTTTGTAGCTATTGAGACAATTTACCAGTATGATTAAATCAAAAATTAAGCGAATTTGACCGGGACCCAATTTCCATAAGATTTGTGTGGGGTCATTTGTCGATCAGCTGCTGAAATCCTGACGATATAAACTGAACCACCCTGTATATTTACAAAAATTCTCAATCAACCCTGTGTATTATGCATACAAATCGATTAAAAATACATTCGTTCGAAAAAATTTAACCTCTTATTTGTTTCATCATAACTGCCCATTACGCTGGACTATATCCATTATCTGAAATCGGTTTGGGTACTGGAAAGCAGCCCGGTTAATATCTCCCGGACTTTCTTCTTCTTTTAAATTACGCTACGAAAGTCGTTCGTCGAATCTACGTCATAATTTCCGTGTACAAACTCAACACTCTGTGTATTAATTCGTACTGTTCGGCCGTCTGGACCATTCCGCCTCTGTTTAACCTGAGCGAGCATAAAATGGCCAAAACGTCGACCGTTCCGCTCGCCCGCAATTGCTGAATGCCGTTCAGGATGGCCAAGAAACACCCCGTCCTACCTATTCCCGCGCTGCAGTGAACTATTACGGGTAGTTTGAGATTTTCCATTGACTTCCGACGTACTTCGGGCGTGCCTAAAAAATTTTAATTATTTTATTATATTTTCTACATATTAAAAAATCATAAAAACATTTAAAATACATTTCTTTCGTCCAACTTTGTAAAAATAACATCAAACTGTTTAGTCAAATTGTAACGTTATAAATAACGTTTCAGTTTTATCTTTGGAATATTAACGACATTTTAATAATAATTATACCCTCCTGGGAAAAATATTCAGTCATGCCAATGGTATGAATATTTCCTTACTGTCTTCTCAAGGCCACCTGTCGTAAAATCAATAATTTGGGTCCTGCGCGGTCTTACGATAAAATCTAGCACTTAAGCACTTTCCGGAATATTCAGCAAGTACGTAAAATGAAACTTTTTCCCATTTGTATAAAACTATTTAGGACACCCTGTAGAATCTCAAAGAGAACGTCGCTATTTAATAGGGAGTTTTAGCAAACAGCTGCTAACCATCCGCTAACGTTACCTTAGGGATAGACTGTAATCTACTCCGTTCAATGTTTATGAAAAATGTCACCATCTAAGTTTAACGTAACGTTAGCGGAAATCTTACGTACATTTGCTAAAACTCTCTAATAACAATTCCTGGTTGCACATTGTTAACGACGTTCTAAAAAAAATCCAATGTACGGGATGTGCCAAAAGGTACTTAAAATACAACTTTTTTTTTTCCCATTTGTATAAAACTTTTTGAGACCCCTTGTATAATGGATATGCAACGTGCTCAAAGAGAACGTCGTTAATAGAAATCCATGGTTACACATTGTTAACGACGTGCTCGAAGAATACGTCCCATACCGTTGTCCCAGAAAGTGCATAAAATAAAACTTTTTGCTATTTGTATAAACTTTTTATAACACCCTGTATAATATGCACCTAGGGATTATTATTACAGAGCTCTTTGAGCATGTCGTTAATAACAATCCCTGGATACATATTTTTAACGACGTGCTCGAAGAGCACGCCGCAGTCTATTATACAGCGTGTCCCAAAATGTGAGTAAAATAAAACTTATCATTTGTAGAAATACTTTTAGAGACATCCTGTAAAATGGGTTGTAACGAGCTCTTTGAGCATATCGTTAATGACAATCCCTGGATACATATTTTTAACGACGTGCTCGAAGAGCACGTCGCAGTCTATTATACAGCGTGTCCCAATATGTGAGTAAAATAAAACTTATCATTTGTAGAAATACTTTTAGAGACATCGTGTACAATGGGTTGTAACGAGCTCTTTGAGCATGTCGTTAATAACAATCCCTGGATACATATTTTTAACGACGTGCTCGAAGACCACGTCGCAGTCTATTATACAGCGTGTCCCAAAATGTGAGTAAAATAAAACTAATCATTTGTAGAAATACTTTTCGAGACATTCCGTACAACGGATTGTAACGAGCTCTTTGAGCATGTCGTTAATAACAATCCCTGGATACACATTTTTAACGACGCGCTCGAAGAGCTCGTCGCAATCTATTATCTAGCGTGTCCCAAAATGTGAGTAAAATAAAACTTATCATTTGTAGAAATACTTTTAGAGACATCCTATACAATGGGTTATAACGAGCTCTTTGAGCATGTCGTTAATAACAATCCCTGGATAAACATTTTTAACGACGTGCTCGTCCCAGTCTATTATACAGCGTGTCCCAAAATATGAGTAAAATAAAACTTATCATTTCTAAGAAATACTTTTCGAAACATCCTGTACAATGGATTGTAACGAGCTCTTTGAGCATGTCGTTAATAACAATCCCTGGATACATATTTTTAACGACGTGCTTGAAGAACACGCCGCAATCTATTATACAGCGTGTCCCGAAATGTGAGTAAAATAAAACTTATCATTTGTAGAAATACTTTTCGAGACATCCTGTACAATGGATTGTAACGAGCTCTTTGAGCATGTCGTTAATAACAATCCCTGGATACATATTTTTAACGACGTGCTCGAAGAGCACGTCCCAGTCCATTATACAGCGTGTTCCAAAATGTGAGTAAAATAAAAGTTTTTATCATTTGTAGAAATACTTTTCGGGACATCCTGTACAATGGATTGTAACGAGCTCTTTGAGCAAGTCGTTAATAACAATGCCTGATTACACATTGTTAACGACGTGCGCGAAGAGTACGTCTTAATTCATTATACAGGGTGTCTCAAAACGTGCAGACAAAACTTTTTCCCATTTGTATTAAACTTTTTGAGACGCGCTGTTTAATGGATTGCGACGTGCTTTTTAAGCACATGAATCCCTGATTACACATTGTTAATAACGTGTTCAAAGAGTACGTCCCAATCCATTGTACAGTGTGTCCTAAAACGTGCTTAAAATAAAACTTTTTGAGACACATTGTAGAAATATTTAGGCTCTCCGCCCTTTAAAACCTGCCCATTTAAAAATAATAGCCCTTTATTCGTGCTTAATAAGCACGTCCAGTGTACAGAATGCTTCAAAATGTGTGCAAAAAACTTTTTTCCAATTTGTATATACAAATTTTTAGACACCCTGTATAATGGACTCTGACTAAGTATGTCGTTAACAATAATGTGTTTCCAGTCGAAGAGCACGTCGCAATTTGTTCAGGGTGTCCCAAAATGCGTGTAAAACAAAATTTTACCTATTTGTATAAAACATTTCGAGACACCCTGTATAATGGATTGCGACGTGCTCGAAGAGCACGTTGTCAATAGCAATGCTCAGATACACAATGTTAACGCAATATATTGTATAGGGTGTCTCAAAAAGTTTTTATACAAATAGGAAAAACTTTTATCTTACTCACGTTTTGGGACACCCTATACAATGGATTGCGACGTGATCTTCGAGTACGTCGTTAATAGCAATGCTAACGCAATGTTAACGACGTGCTGGAAGAGCACGTCGCCATCCTTTGTACAGGGTGTCCCAAAACGGGAGTAAGATAAAACTTTTCCTATTTGTATAAAAACTTTTTGAGACATCCTATACAATTGATTGCGACGTGCTCTTGGAGCACGTCGTTAACATTGTGGATCTAAGCATTGTTATTAACGACGTGCTCGAAGATCACGTCGCAATCCATTGTATAGGGTGTCTCAAAAAGTTTTTATACAAATGAGAAAAAAAATAACCCTTGGGTACACATTTTTAACGACGCAGACTATTATAAAGGGTGTCCCAAAATGTGTGCAAGATAATTTTTTTGTCATTTGTTTAAATACTTTTTGAGACATCCTGTACAATGGATTGCAACGTGGTCTATGAGCACGACCTTAAAAACAATGCCTGGATACGCTCTTTGAGCAGCTCGTAATCTATTATACAGGATGTCTCAAAAATTTTTATATATAAATGGAAAAAATATATCTTGAGCACGTTTTTTGACATTCTGTATAATAAATTAATGATAAAATATGACATAAGATAAAAGAAGATAAAATATAAAAATCCATGTCAAATTTAATATAAATGGTTTTATAATAGATCATCTTTAACATTCTCCATTTACATTGACATTCTAAATAAAGACTCAAATTTCGCGCAATATAAAAAATTTTATTCCTTACCTTTTAAAGCGAGCATCGTATCCTTCTTAGACATTTTGTAATCAGAATTGTCACAACAACTTCTTGTTTTGAGATCAAATTTATATTTTGTACTTTGCGTTAGAGATTCATCGGTTTTTTTCGATATGTCATTGACGTTATTGTCGGTTTTTTTCTTCGCATTCATGATGTTCAAGACGTCCAGAGCGATTTTCAAGACCTGCTCCGGGCAGGCCATCTTGTGATCCGGCCAATTCGAAAACCAATAATGGTAGATGGTTCTCGATTCGGCCGTCGAATCGAGTCTTTTTAGTTTTAATTGCCTTATAAAACACTCGTCTAGGGTACTTTCATTCACGTAAGTTATTCTGTAAAATATCAAAAAATTATCAAACTATATTTATCAATTTTTTTACTTGATTCAGTAATCAACAATTTAAAATTTTTGCAGAAAAAGTTTCCGACACGAATATTTTAAAATACAGATCTTGAAATCCACATCGCCTGATGAGTAAAAGAAAATGATTGAATAAAGACTATTTAAAAAGATTAATTAATTGGAAATTAGTACTAAAAAGTACCGTAAAAGGGGGCGGATCGGAACTAAAGGGTAAATAGGAACGAAAGTCAGTAAAATGTTTTGTGGGATCGATCTACAAAACCCGAACTAACTGTCAAACTATTCAGAAATGAATGCTCTTTCGATTGGCAACATTGAAAACTAAGTCAACTGTCACTCTATCAATTGTCAGCTGTCAAAAATAAGCTGTTGGAAACACGGTTTTTGTGATGATGATGATGACGAAGAGGAACTTCCACTCATAACATTTTAAAAAAGTGATAATATTCACCCCAACGATGATGACATCATAAGTCATAAGTCTAGTGATGACGAAGATGAACTTCCAGTCATAAAATTAAAAAAAGTGATAAGATTTATCTCAGTGATAATAATAATGGTGACAATGATAACAATGGTGATATTCACATTGGAGATTTTGTATTTATTAGTTAGGTTCCCAGTTGTAAAAAGAGCGCAAATATCAAACAGAGAGTTTATATTGGAAAAGTGACATCAGTGAATGATGATATCTTAGAGGCAACTTTTTTGCGGAAAAAGCCAACTTCTAAAGGAAAAATTGGGGTTGTTTATACCTTTCCGCATGTTACCTTGGTTAGAAGGCCATCCACCAATTCCAAGTAATTTTTATTTGACTAAACGACGTCTAGACAACTTAATGGTAAAGTTGAAGAAGGATGGATACTATGACGAGTACAACGTTTTCTCGGAATGGTTAGTTGAAGGCGTCATCGAATTTGTACCCAGAGGTGAAGAAATGAAAGAAACCGTCCATTATTTACCTCACCAACATGTGTAAAACTTGATAGTACTACAACTAAACTAAAGCCAGTTTTCGATGCTTCTGCACGAGAAAAAGGTTCCCCTTCTTTGAATCAATGCTTAGAAAAAGGAATTAATCTTTTAAATTTGATACCTTCTTGTTTAATAAGATTTCGACTTTTTAAAATTGGTGTAATTGCTGATATAAGAAGGGCCTTTCTTCAAATTGGCATCCTAGAGGCTGATCGAGACTGTCTGTATTTCTTATGGTATGATAAAGATCTTATTTATTTTCGACACGCAAGAGTTGTTTTCGGGGTGATTTGTAGCCCTTTCCATCTTAATGCTGTCTTACAGTTGCATTTAAATCGTGTTTTGGTTGATTGTCTTGAGAGTAACTCTCAGTATTCTTTTTCTGTCATTGATAAACTTCGTAAAAGTTTTTAAGTGGATAACTTCGTCTGCAGAGAGAATTTATTGATCAGTCAACCAAAATTTGACTTACGTCTCTGGGAATAGACTAATTCAATGATGTTATACCTGACACATTCGTGTCCAATCTTTTGGGGTTGAAGTGGAATCGTATTGAGGATACCTTAGAAATTTGTTTTGATTGGTTCACGACTTCTGATTGGCAAACTATTGCTAAACGAACCATTATATCCTTTGTGAACAAAGTATATGATCCTCTTGGATTTATATGTCCTGTTCTTTTGTTGATAAAAATATTACTGCAGAAGATGTGGTCTCTTAAGATAGGATGGGACGCCGAAGTACCTCTTGAAATTAAAAATACATTTGTCGATTGGATTCATAATTTTAGTTGTTTAGTTAATTTTAAAATTCCTAGATATCTTTTACATCCATTGTTGTCTACGCTAGAAATAGATTCAAAAAGTCTTCATCTTTTCACGGATGCCAGCCAATATTCTTATGCCGCAGTAGTTTTTTTGAGGACTGAAGATAATAAGGGTTCCTGCTCTATCCAACTTATTCATGCTACGAGTAGACTAGCTCCAATTCGGAATAAGATGTCTATTCCACGACTGGAGTTATTAGCGGCTACCATTGGTGACAGACTTTTATCTTCAATATTATCTGCTTTTGATGATGAAATTCCGGTTTATTGTTGGTCAGATTCAAGTACAGTGTTAGCTTGGATTCATCGTGAGGACCAATGGAAGCCATTTGTATGGAATAGAGTTAAAGAGATTCAGTCGTTGACTAAGAAAGAAGATTGGTATTTCATTCCTGGTCAATTAAATCCTGCCGATTTGCCCTCCAGAGGTTGTTCTTCGAAACAATTGTTGCAGTCTCGATGGTGGGATGGTCCCTTTTGGTTACTGCAGGAAAAACAGTTTTGGCCTAGTGAAAATTATGCCGCTGACAAATCAACAGAGGAAGAATTAAATCGTTCTACTACATCATATGTTAATGTTAAACATGACTTCTCTTGGTATTACAGATACTTCTTGGATTATCAAAAAATTGTAAATTTAATTGGTTGGATTCTTAGGAAACCTTTCCTGTGCCTTTGCCTGAAAATCGCGTGAAGGATATAGCTGTTTTTGAAATAATTGGTGTTGATTTGGCTGGTCCCTTATTTATTAAGAGTATGGAAAAGGTTTGGGTATGCATTTTTACTTGCGCGGTGTATAGAGCTGTGTGAATTGGTCCCTTCTTTATCTACGGATAGTTTCCTTCAGGCCTTCAGAAAATTTATTAGTAGAAGAGGTAGACCTAGTATTGTCTATAGCGATAATGGGACGAATTTTGTCGGGTCAGAAAATGCGTTTAAACGTATTAATTTTGATAAAATTGTGGAGTATAGTACTGCACAACGAATTTGTTGGAAATTTTCACCGCCAACTGCAGCCTGGTGGGGTGGTTGGTGGGAGCGATTAATTCGATTGTTAAAGCAACTTTTACGTAAAATTCTGGGTACTACTTCGTTGTCGTTTGATGAGCTTTGCACGACGTATGAATGAGAGGCTTCATGAACTCTAGTCCCCTTACTTACGTTTCCGATGATGCTGAAGAATATTGAAGATGCTAAAACTAGGTTTAGTCATTATAGGAGACCCATAAAAGCTTCTGACAGATTTCAATTGTATTGTTGAGTCTTTTTGTTAAAAGCCTCAAGGTGGGAGGATGTTGGAAATGAGAGTAATAGTTAGTGTTTTAGATATATGTTGTTCGTTTTGGCACCATGAGCAAAAGTTTCAATGGACATAAAGCTTAATTTTGCTCCAAGGATTGACCATTATTTACTACTTAAAAAGGTAATCTCCTCGAAAGTTTAGTATTTGCTGCTTTAAAAAAAAAGTACCATCTTATGTTTTCGGGGTCGCTGCATTCAAATCCAATGCCAATATAATAATATTGACAGTTGACAGCTGTCAACTAGCTGTCAAACAACAAGCAATAATCAAAATTGATAAAATCCACATATAAATGTCTGTTTTTGAGGTTGGTAAGTTCAAAACTGATGTCAACAACTCGATATTAACAGTTGACAGCTGTCAACTAACTGTCAAACAGTATATGACAATCAAAATTGACAAAATTCAAGAGTAAATAGATGTCTTCGAGGTTGCCGAGTTTAGAACTGATGGTAAAAAATCGGTATTCATATTTTACAGCTGTCAAATAACTGTCAAGCCACAAGCATTAATCAAAATTGATAAAATCCACTTGTAAATATTTGTTTTTTAGGTTGGTAAGTTCAAAACTAATGTTAACAACTGGATAGTGACAGTTGACAGCTGTCAACTAACTATCAAACAGTATGTAATAATTGAAATTGATAAAATTGAGATGTAAGCATATGTCTTGGTTGCCTAATTGTAATCTGATGCCAAAAAGACGATATTGAAAGTTGAGTACTATCGTTAATTAAATATTTGACTGTGCATGATAATGTGTCAAGATAGAGGAACAATGAGGTGGCAGCAAGCAAGCTTCACTTGTTTTTAAAATATCGTTTTTCTTAACATCAGTTTTGAATTTCACGATCTCAAAAACATACATTTACATGTGGATTTTATTAATTTTGATTTCCACATGCTGTTTGACAGTTAGTTGACAGCTGCCAACTGTCAATATCGAGTTGTTAACATCAATTTTAAACTCAGCTGCCTCAAAAACAGATATTTTACATGTGGCTTTTTCAATTTTGATTATTGCTTGTTTGACAGCTAGTTGACAGCTGTCAACTGTCAATACTATTATATTGGCATTGGATTTGAATGCAGCGATCCTGAAAACATAAGAAGGTACTTCTTTTTTAACGCAGGAAATACCAAACTTTCGAGGAGATTGCCTTTTTAAGTAGTAAATAGTGGTCAATCCGTGGAGCTTTGGAGCTCGGAAGGAGACAAAATAAGCAAAATTGAGCTTTGTGCCCATTGAGACTTGCTCAGGATGCCGAAACAAACAACATATCCAAATTTCAGCCAATTTGACCGGGATCCAATTTCCATAAGATTTGTGCGGGGTTCTTTAAATATTATTAAAATAAAATTAAACCTGCAATAAAGAAAATAAAAAATTATAGGTAGACTTGAACGCACAATCTCTTGCATCTATAGTCGATTATTTATACATTATACCACGTTCGCATGATTTTGAGACACCCTATACAATAGACGGCGACGTGCTCTTCGAGCACGTCGCACGTCGTTAATAGCAATGCTTAGATGCACAATGTTAACGTGCTCGAGGAGCACGTCGCAATCCTTTGTATAGGGTGTCCCAAAACGTGAGAAAGATAAAACTTTTTCCTATTTATATAAAAACTTTTTGAGACACCCTATACAATGGATTGCGACGTGCTCTTCGAGCACGTCGTTAATAGCAATGCTTAGATGAACAATGTTAACACGTCGCAATCCTTTGTAAAGGGTGTCCCAAAACGTGAGTAAGATAAAACTTTGTATAAAAACTTTTTGAGACATCCTATACAATGGATTGTGACGTGCTCTTCGAGCACGTTGTTAATGGCAATGCTTAGATACACAATGTAAACGACTTGCTCGAAGAGCACGTCGCAATCCTTTGTACAGGGTGTCCCAAAACGTGAGAAAGATAAAACTTTTTCTCATTTGTATAAAAACTTTTTGAAGGAGCCAAAATAAGCAAAATTGAGCTTTGTGTCCATTGAGACTTTTGCTCAGGATGCCGAAACAAACAACATATCCAAATTTCAGCCAATTTGACCGGGATCCAATTTCCATAAGATTTGTGCGGGGTTCTTTAAATATTATTAAAATAAAATTAAACCTGCAATAAAGAAAATAAAAAAAAATTATAGGTAGACTTGAACGCACAATCTCTTGCATCTATAGTCGATTATTTATACATTATACCACGTTCGCATGATGCTAATTTTTCTGAATCGGCGTGTATACAAGAATTTTGAATAATTTAAGAAAACAGTGTGAAGAAGTTATAAATATTACCTGTAATTCCCAAAAGTAACTTCGTTTAGTTCTTCGAATGTGTGCGTTTCCTCTTCGTACTGTTGAGTATTCGCTTTCAAATCGAACGTGAATTTGTCTCGAACTTTTGTGGTTTTAACGTAGTAAAAAGACTTTTCCGCCCTTTCGTCCTTTTTCCCTAAAGGGAAGTACAACTCGCATTTGCTCCATCCCTTCTCCACCAGACCCGTTAACATTACTATACATTTACACTACAATGAAAGAAAGAAAATAAGTGGAAATCAGATTTTATCCCAGATCTAGGAACAGAACATCAGGCAATAGACCGCTACAAATAATAAAATTAAAATATTAGTTTTTTTTTCATTTAGTAGATTGTAGGTGGCGCCCTCTTTAACATGCTTATGATTGACTAGCTGAAAAATATAACTATACAAAATTTTAAGTCAATACGTTAAATAATAACAAAAATATTTTAAAAAAACGTAAAGTAAATATCAACATTTTTTGACCCAGTGTTATTTAGCAAAATATTAATATTTTGAGGTCCTGAATCTATGATTAAAATATTTGCCGTTCTTTATGAAACACCCTGTATTAACTTTTTTCGGCACACTGTACTCGAAGAACACGTCGCTAATAACAATGGTTAGATACACATTATTAACGACGCAATCCATTGTACAGGGTGTCCCAAAACGTAAGAAAGAAAACTTTTTCTCATTTGTATAAAAACTTTTTAAGACATCCTATACAATGGATTGTAACGTGCTCTCCGAGTACGTTGTTAATAGAAATGCTTAGATGCACAATGTTAACGAAGTGCTCTTCGAGCACGTTGCAATCCTTTGTACAGGATGTCCCAAAACGTGAGAAAGATAAAACTTTTTCTCATTTGTATAAAAACTTTTTGAGACACTCTATACAATGGATTGCGACATGCTCTTCGAACACGTTGTTAATGGCAATGCTAAGATGAACAATGTTAACGACGTGCTTGAAGAGCACGTCGCAATCCTTTGTATAGGGTGTCCCAAAACGTGAGTAAGATAAAACTTTTTCCTATATGTATAAAAACTTTTTAAGACATCCTATACAATGGATTGCGACGTGCTCTTCGAGCACGTCGTTAATAGCAATGCTTAGATGAACAATGTTAACGACTTGCTCGAAGAGCACGTCGCAATCATTTGTACAGGGTGTCCCAAAACGTGAGAAAGATAAAACTTTATCTCATTTGTATAAAAACTTTTTGAGACACCCTATACAATGGATTGAGACGTGCTCTTCGAGCACGTCGTTAATAGCAATGCTTAGATGAACAATGTTAACGACTTGCTCGAAGAGCACGTCGCAATCATTTGTACAGGGTGTCCCAAAACGTGAGAAAGATCAAACTTTATCTCATTTGTATAAAAACTTTTTGAGACACCCTATACAATGAATTGCGACGTGCTCTTCGAGCACGTCGTTAATAGCAATGCTTAGATGAACAATGTTAACGACTTGCTCGAAGAGCACGTCGCAATCATTTGTACAGGGTGTCCCAAAACGTGAGAAAGATAAAACTTTATCTCATTTGTATAAAAACTTTTTGAGACACCCTATACAATGGATTGAGACGTGCTCTTCGAGCACGTCGTTAATAGCAATGCTTAGATGAACAATGTTAACGACTTGCTCGAAGAGCACGTCGCAATCCTTTGTATAGGGTGTCCCAAAACGTGAGTAAGATAAAACTTTTTCTCATTTGTATAAAAACTTTTTAAGACATCCTATACAATGGATTGTGACGTGCTCTTCGAGCACGTTGTTAATAGAAATGCTTAGATGCACAATGTTAACGAAGTGCTCTTCGAGCACGTTGCAATCCTTTGTATAGGGTGTCCCAAAACGTGAGTAAGATAAAACTTTTTACTATTTGTATAAAAACTTTTTGAGACACCCTATACAATAGATTGTGACGTGCTCTTCGAGCACGTTGTTAATGGCAATGCTAAGATGAACAATGTTAACGACGTGCTTGAAGAGCACGTCGCAATCCTTTGTATAGGGTGTCCCAAAACGTGAGTAAGATAAAACTTTTTCCTATACGTATAAAAACTTTTTAAGACATCCTATACAATGGATTGCGACGTGCTCATCGAGCACGTCGTTAATAGCAATGCTTAGATGAACAATGTTAACGACGTGCTCAAAGAGCACGTCGCAATCCTTTGTACAGAGTATCCCGAAGTGTGAGTAAGATAAAACTTTTTCCTATTTGTATAAAAACTTTTACAAAAGGACGTGGTTAATAATAATGCTTAGATGCACATTGTTGAGCATGTCGCAATCATTTGTCTCAAAAAAAAAGTTTTCCTATTTATATAAGAACTTTTAAAGAAAATAAAACTATAGAAACCTATGAAAATATATAAAAATATTTAAAAATATATAAAAATATATAAAAATATATAAAAATATATAAAAATATATAAAAATATATAAAAATATATAAAAATATATAAAAATATATAAAAATATATAAAAATATATAAAAATATATAAAAATATATAAAAATATATAAAAATATATAAAAATATATAAAAATATATAAAAATATATAAAAATATATAAAAATATATAAAAATATATAAAAATATATAAAAATATATAAAAATATATAAAAATCTATGAAAATATATAAAAATCTATGAAAATATATAAAAATTCATAAAAATATATAAAAATTTATGAAAATCTATCAAAATCTACAAAAATCTATAAAAACTTATAAAAATCTACAAAAATCTATAAAAATCTATAAAAATCTATAAAAATCTATAAAAATCTATAAAAATCTATAAAAATCTATAAAAATCTATAAAAATCTATAAAAATCTATAAAAATTTATAAAAAAACTATAAAAATAAAAACTCAAAAATTTTAATGACAGAAATACTAAAAAAATGTTCATTTCATTGAATGTAAGAATAAATTAAATAAAAAATGTTTACTCACATGTGTACTCCAAACCATTTCCCAAAAATCTTGACATGTGTGGTTCATCGGCCCTTGAGTTGCTATATAAGTAGTTTCGGTATAATCTGGACCCTAAAATAAAAAATAATAATAATAAAAAAAAATTAATCGCAAAAGTTATAAATTAATACTTACTTTAATATAATTGGCATGGATGTATTGTTGCGGTCCAGGTAAATGCACTCTACTATGTTCGTTTGGTAATACTCCTTTATATCTATTTCTGCTTTGACTACCAGAAACATAACATTTTTCTTGAAGATTCAAAGGAACCTCCCAGAATTCTTGGTTCAGCTTTGGTACCCGTGAAACCTATGAAAATCATTATTTAAATTCACAAGCTAATTTTGGACGAAAAAAGAGGGGAATTTGAATTTAAATGCTCGCCAACATTTTCATTGTTGCCAAATTTAACTTTGAAATCAGAAAAACGACATTTAATATTATTTTTATTTGTTTTTATTAAATTGTATTAAGTTTTATTCCTTTCTATTAATTTTTATTAGTTTTTACTAATTTTCACTAATTAATTTTTACTAATTTTGACTAATTTTGACTAATTTTGACTAATTTTTACTAATTTTTACTAATTTTTACTAATTTTTACTAATTTTTACTAATTTTTACTAATTAATTTTTACTAATTTTTACTAATTTTTACTAATTTTTACTAATTTTTACTAATTTTTACTAATTTTTACTAATTTTTACTAATTTTTACTAATTTTTACTAATTTTTACTAATTTTTACTAATTTTTAATAATTTTTACTAATTAATTTTTACTAATTTTTATTGATTGATAATTTGTTTTTCTATACTTTCCTTAGCTTTTTATAGACAGGAAAATAAAAATACTCTGTATAACTTTGAGATCAAAAACTTACGAATAGTTGCAAATAGGTTACTAAAACTCTTACCTCACACGATTTCCTTAATTCTTCAATGGTCAGCAGATTACCAGCAGTTTGTAGATACTGAACGTTCTCCAAATGCAACTTAAAATCCTCGGAAAGTAATTGGGTTGTTTCTAGATCAGGTTGTCTCGGATAGTATGCCTTTCTGATCCCTTTACAATGTTTAGACGTACCGGAGCACTCTTTAAAAGCTCCAGTTTGACAAAACCCGCACGGAGGTATATACAGATTTTCGTTAGATAATGATTTCCTTCTCGATTTCGTACAACAGTTACATTTCTTCACTATCTGACATTTGGTTTTGCAACTTTTAATATTATTCGGTACCGATTCGTATATCGTGCAATTGCCGCACGCTTCTTGCGATTTTCGTCTTTCGATCGCTGCCTTCGACTGTACTTCGCACTTTTTCAAACAGCTACACGTTTTATCCGAATCGAATGTCGATAAATTGAGGTTAGATACACTTTTTGCGGTGTTAAGTCTGTTTAAAGCCACCGGTTTTACATCGGAAATATTAGAATTAGATCCCAAGTCTATAGTAAGACTTGCGTTTGATCCTCTGCGTTCTAAGAGACCTTTAGCTTTTAATTTAATGGGTAATGTTACAGGTCCGTCAGAAAAATCATGCAAAGTCATAATTTCCGGTAGTGTTTTCAGAGTTTGAGATCCAGATATGCTGTTATTCGAAGCGAATTTCTTTAAATTTGAATTAAAACTAGGTGCTAAAGTTGATTTTTCGAAATCGCAAGATAATTTTGGCTTTATTTGTTTTTTTGGCGTATTTGGCATTGAGAAGACATCTCTGGATACCTCTAGAGTCGACGATTGGGTTGGTGGATCCGAATCGAGACTAACGGCCTTCAATTTCTTCGACAGGGTTGGTGTTTTCGGTGATTGAACTATCAAGACTGGTTGCTGAGCTGCATCGAGTGTTGTTTGATCCGTAAGATCTAGAGTGGGAAAGTTTCGTTCCTTTTTTGGAGGTGTTAATCCTTCCATTTTAAAAATTCATCTAATCGCTATTGTAATCTGTGAAACAAATTAATCTTTCAACTATAAATTACATTTTTTACAAGGACTATACAAATTTCTTAGAAAAAAAAATGCATCAATATATCAACTCAGTAAAATTCTTAAAAAAAAGAGTAGAAGAAAAGAGCAGAACAATACAATAACAGAAGGATAGAAGAATATTAAAATAGAAGAGTAAAAGAATATTAAAATAGAATAGTAGAAGAATAAAAAAGTAGATGAGTAGGGGAGTAGAGGAGTAGAAGGGTAGAATAGTAGAAGAGTATAAGAGTAAATAGTAAAAGAGTAGAAGAGTAGAAGGGTAGAAGAGTAGAAGATAAGAAGAATAGAGGAATAGAATAGAAGAATAATAGAATAGAAGAAGAAAATGAAGAATAAGAAGAAGAAGGGATAAGCCAATTGTATATCAGTAGAATTTTAAAAATAAAAAAACTCCATCCATATCACTATACTCCTGTCCAAAAATTTTCCCAATTTTTATAAGACAAACTAAGAGGAAACCAACGTTTTCTTAATAACAATTCTCTTCGCCGATGAGGCGACATACACTAGACAAGAAGGTTTTAATTGGAAAAACAATTTGTGGGGTTCTGAGAATCCAAATGCAGTAAGAGAATGAGAGAAATACATTTTTAGCTTGAGTTTAATGTGACAATTTGGTGTGGTGTCTGGTTTTTCATTACTCCTTTTGAACTTCCATCTAATCTAAATGGACCTATTTATTTAAAATTTCTTGAAGAACATTTAAATGAGCTACTAGATGTTTCACTCCTCATAAGGCAAAACGTGTGGTTTATGCAGGATGGAGCGCCACCACAATATGTTCTGCCTGCGCGCCAATATCTAAATCAACATTTTTCCCATTGTTGGATTAGCTGTGGAAGTTTTTGGCCATTAATGAGACCAGATTTAAATCCATTGGATTTTTAAATTTAATAATAATAATAAAATTCGAAACATAGAATTCGATATAAAATAAAAAGTAAAAAAAAAATAGTAGAAGCAAAATATAATACAATGGATTAATTTAAAAATAGTTAAAAACTAAAGTTTTTCTAATTTTTTTTCGGAAAATATGTTGTGGATGATGTATTTGCTTCATTAAGTATTCATTACAAATTTTAACAGATTGGTAAGTAAATAATATCTGAAATATGGCCGAATTGTGATGAGGAATGTGAAAAAGATTTCTAGATGGTGCAATGCTGATCTCACAAGTAACTTATCCAAAAGAGTTTTCGGTTTATTTCCTTTTATGATATTATACAAGAAATTAATAACATTATATTGCCGTTTATTTTTAATTTTTAACCATTTAAGTTCATAAATTTTATGAGATACTCCATCATATTTTCGAAGTCCATATATTAAATCTATAAATCTAGCACAATAATATTGTACTTTTTGTATGTGGTTTTGTGTATATAAATCAATAAAATTTCCATAGTCGACATCACCAAATGAGAAAATAGACAAAACTAAGGACTCTAATTACCTTTTTTTTTCTTATGGAATATAACTTTTTTTAAAGTTGAAAATATAGGATAGAAATTATTCATCTTTGAGAATTATACACTATACAAAGATACTAGGTACATAATGTAAAATCCTATCAGACTAGTCAAAAAAGTGTTAAGTAAAATACATTAAAAAATAAAATATATATAATAGACAATTCATGTTAAGATTAGTTTAAAAGTTCAAAAAATCTTCTATACTATAAAATACATTATTTACAAGAAAATCATTAAGATGTTTTCTTAAATCATTACGACTAATTTGATGATTACCTGTAGTATCTTCTAATATGTTACTGAACTTATTGTAACACTTAATCCCAATATAGTTTGGTGAATGCTGGCTTATTTGTAGTCGTGAAAAAGGTTGATGGATGTTAAATTTTAACCTAGTATCATATGAGTGCAGGTCTTTATTTTTCTTAAATATATGCTCATTATCTTTTATGTATAAAACTAGTTGAAAAATAAAAAGGGAAGGTAGTGTTAAAGTTTGCGTTTTCTTGAAAAGTTCTTTACATGATGTTGTTGGTGTCACCTTATACATGGCTCTCAGAACCTTCTTTTGAGATACAAAAGCTTTTTCAAAGTATGGCGAAGAACCCCAAAATATTAACCCATATTGTAGAGTTGCATGAACCAAACCAAAATAGCATAGTTCTAAAGTATCAAAAGATAGTATCTCTCTTAAATTTTTGATGATATAACAACAAGTACTTAATTTTGAAGTTATCATTTTTATATGAGCTTCCCAATTTAATTTGGGATCTAATATTATTCCTAAAAATTGTATGTCATCAACGCATTGAATAGTTTTTCCGTCAACGTGCAAGTAGGGTTTGTAATCTGGTAATATGTTTTTGGGTAGAAATTGCATGAAGTTTGTTTTTGTTATATTTAATGCCAGGCCGTTATCTTTACAATACTGGTTAAACTCACGAGATGCCTCGTTGCTACTTTGAGTGACCTGTTCAATTTGATCATCTGCCATTACAATATTGGTATCTTCGGCATATTGAACTATTTGTTGAGAGCTTAAACAAAAATTATTTATATCACTTAAAAAAACTATAAAAAGAAGTGGGCCCAAAATTAAACCTTGGGGAACTCCTATTGTACATGGAAGAGGATCAGATTTTAGACTATTTGTTACAATTATTTGAGTTCGATTTATTAAGTAAGACTGTATCCATTCAAAAGGTTTCCCTCGTATTCCTAACTCATTCATCTTCAATAATAAAAGATTATGATCCACCATATGAAATGCACGGCTAAGGTCATAGAAGAGTCCCAAAATATGTTTTTTATCATTGTGTGCTTGATATATAAAATCTAGGCAAGCTGCAATTGCAGTAGATGTTGACTTATTTTTTGTAAATCCATTTTGAGTATCTGGCAACATATTAAAACTTTCAAAGTAATTAGTGAGTCTAATAAAGTACCGTCAAACGGGGTTAAGTGAATCAAAAAAACACGTTTTTTTATCTTTTCTCCAAAGATAAGGAAACTAAAAATATACAAAAAATATTGAAGGTTGTGACACTCATTACGAGTGGTTCTAATGATAAATCATGTTTTTTTGAAAAAACAGAAATATATAAATTTTTTGTTAAAGAGTGACTCACTTTACCCTCTACTTTGGGGTAAAGTGAATCATGCATCTAAATTGTATTAAAACTCATTTTAAAATGTCTATGGGTAAAATGAATCAATTTAGAGCAAAAAAAACGTCATAAGTTAAAGCTCCTCTAACGCGCTTCATATTTTCTGCCAATTTAAAAGTTAGGTCCTATGTCTGCTCATAAAGCTTTTAAACCAGTCGACTCCTGGCATATTCTCTTTAAATCTTTTTTCTTTCATTCCAATTTCGTTTAAATATTGTTGCACAATTGTCCTAACGTCCGTACATTTTAACGGAAATCCCCACTCGGCACAAATTACTAGGGTTTTCTTTAGTCTAGTTTCCTGAACTTCAGTTAGTGCAGTCTGCCGACCATATTTTAAGGAGTTTTTTTCCATGATACCTTCTTTGAATTGTGCTAAAAGGAACGCCAAACTGTTCTAAAGCTTCTCTTATAGACATTCCGCGTCGAACCTCTGCCAATGCCAGGACAACAACACCGGATCATAATTACATTTTCCTCGTGGTCCCAACTTTTTTTTATACACCCTTGGCATGCTGAAACTAAAAAAATATATTAATAAAAATACAAAAACAGCACAATTTTATTATATGACAGAATAAAAATAAACAATTTATACAATGCAACCCAAATATTACAAAAACATGAGTGATTCACTTTACCCCTTTTACCGGCTTTTTTTTATTAAAAAAAAGTGACAACTTTACTACAAATATTACGACATGAAATATATTAATATTATATTGCTAACTACCTAATAAATACATTTATTTTATTTAAACAAATTAAATTTCAAAACAATGAGTTCTACACTGTGTCGTTTTTAATATTTCATAAATAAACAAAAAATCGTTGATCCCATAAACTTTTCGTGTAACTTACCAGTCTACTTAAACGCAACAAAACACTCGGTACTACGTCCAAAGGTACACTGAAGCGACACTCTGATGGGAACATGGAATAAACTTAAAGCTTTCGATGACAACATTGCCGATTTTCCAAAAAGTGTCCAGTGATTCATTTTACCCACTATGATTCACTTAACTCCGTTTGACGGTATGCTGACTCAATATTTTAGTTCTTTGACTAGATATACAGATTAAACGATAATTTTCTATATTAGATGCAGATCCTTTATTTTTATAAACAGGAATTCCTTTAGATTCCTTCATATTTGGGAATAATTCCGAAACAAAGGATTCATTAATCAAATGTGATATGGGTTCAGCAATACAATGAGCAACCGATAACAGAATTTTACCATTTATTTCGTCAATACCTTCAGTGGGTTTAGAAGTAGTTTTTTTGATTATAGTGATGATTTCACTAGGAGTTGTTGGAAAAAGAAAAAACTTTTATGATGTTTATCAATACTCATAGTATAGTTAGGTACAATATTATTTTTATTTACATTAATAAAATAGTCATTGATATAATTTACTTTTTCTAAGGGTGTTAATTTGTTATAATTTGTAAGTTTAATAGGTTTCAATAAGTTGTTTTTCCCTACTCTCGTTTATTATATTCCAGGATTCTTTCATTACGTTATTACTTTTTAAAATACGATCATTATTTTTTCTTCTCAAATATTGTTGTTATTTTTTGATACTCTTTTTTTAAATTATTGTAACGTTCTGTATATTATGTAGAATTTATTTCTTTCTTTAACCTGTTCATTTCACATAATAGATTATGTAACTCTTTAATATGAGTTGGAAACTGATTTTTTAATTTTTGTGGTTTTATCGCTTTCTTTGTTTTCGTAAATACAATATTGTAGTGGTATAGAAATGATTCATAAAAAATAGAAAATACTTCACGCCAATTTTCAACTGAT